TGATTTCTTCTTTTGTGACTAGCCCTACATGTTGTCTATCACCTTTAATTTGTATCACGTTCTAACTCAGTCTCTATCTCTCTCAGTAACGTCCGAAACATCGCTCAACGATAACAGCGAGCAGAAAATAGCAGCACTGTGCCGACTTCACGCGCGTTTTTCGGCCACCTCCGGTCTCCGTTTTCACCACCGTCTTCGCTGGTGTATAGCCCTTTATATGTCTATCACACGGTATCTTCCTTTCACTTGGGCTCATTTTCTACCTCTCGTTATATCGCTTCGAATATTGTTAGTTCTAACTTGCTCCCAACTAGCTAGAACTAACATAAGGAGATGAGAGAGCTGGGTTTGAGGGACTGAAGAGATGTGATAAGATTATTTTGGGGATTTTAGCTTAGCTGACATGTAATAATTGCTAAAAAAGATCTGCAGTACAAAGTATCATACTTCAAGGGGCTGAATCACATGCGAGAAACTAAGAGGGGCTGCAGCACATGAAGTTTCTGTTTTTGGGGCCTGGACACATTTTTCCCTAAAATTTTTTATGGTGTTTTTTTTTTTTGCATAAAATTTGAGTTTTTTCAAAGTTTGTAAAGTTCAGATTTTCAAGGGCCCGTCTATATGTCAATCTTTTTTTTTTACGATTTCCAAAATTTTAAGGTAGTTTTTGGAAATTTTGAATTTATTCCATTAAGTATTTGATGGTTAATTGGTTACTCAATAAAAAGACCGTCGTGCAAGCAAAAGTAGTATAAGGAGGAAGATATGCACATTAATACATTAAGGGACAACTTGGAGTTCAATAATGCTTTTAAGGGGGACTTGGTCATTTTGTCCTAAAATAATTTATGGATGTAAGTGGTTCACAAGACAGGAGGTGTATCTACAAGTTAACCTCCAAATTTCCTCTTCAAACCCATCGATCACGTCATTGACCAGAACGCGCACAAGGTTCAGGATATCTGTTGTTATGTTATGATCTGCTTTAGACACTCTACACTAATGTAACCTACGGCGTGAATCAAGCTCCCAGCCCTAAACGAAGTTAACCGGAAATGAGGGGGGGGGGGGGGGGTAGGGTCGGGGGACAAATCTAGAGGACACACTTGAATATATATCTAATTTCTGCCACTGGCAAATCAAACACCGCTATTTTCTGTGCTCTTAACAAATCTAGTTGGGCGACACAAAAATGGAACCAAACTTGCACGCTGATATACCTACAGATCGTGCAGTCGTTGAATACAAATATGACCAATCTCTTGATACGTGAAGATGGGTTGGGCATCAGACATGAACAGAGACTTTTCCCAAGTATTTATCGAAATCTGCCAATAACACTAGATAATATTATTATATGCACTACATGAACCAGTACACCTACACATAAGGTCACTAGGCAGATAAAACAAGACGTTTCTCGTACATATAACACAACCTCCACATTACACAACCTCGTTCTGCCTCTAAAACCCAAAAGAAAAGGAAAAAAAAATAGAGAGAGATAATATAACAGCAGGAACGGACAGCACAAACAAAACAGCCCTAACATGGAAACTATACTCTGTATACATCCCCTGCACAAAATCACTTATATACTAAAAACTACACTGGTTTGGAGGAGATGATCTCCATCGAATTGGCGCGTTTTGAGTATGAAGAATAGATTTAACTCAAAAGAGCTCCCTCCCACTTGCATAAGACATCACACATTCTTAATTTTTCCTCGGAGAAGCTGATTTCCTGGGAACTAAGCACTCCCATCTAATAGTGCTGCTTTTGTTGAGCCTACAGTTTCTCGTTCATTTTGAAGGCAAAGATGCAGGATTTGAGTAGATTGATACTGTAGGCCGAAGTTTGGAAATTCTCTAATTGTAGATTTTCACAGGCTTTTCATATGTGTGTCGGTTCTGCATGGAGAGAGAGTCATGAAGTTTTAAGCTATTTATAGTTGAATGTCTCCATCAAAATTTCCTAAGAGATCAATGCACCAAGTAAAATTTATTTTTAAAAAAAGAATTAAAAACACTTTAAGCACACGTTATGTAGACAGTAACATCTCACCTGATTGGCTGTGTAGAGCCTTTTTGGAGCAGTGTCAGCGTGCTCCAATCCAAGGTACTGTTCCCAAGCTCCATAGACATCTCTTCGCTGCATTGAGACATAACAGTACATGTGAATGAATGGGAAGAGGAGAGGAGAGGGAGTGAGGGAGAAACATAGCAATATTTCATACCTGAAACCGGCTAGATACAATATCTGAATCCTGAAGGTACTCAGGCCGACCAAGTGATAGAAATGCGAACTTCCACTGAGAAAAAAGAACAAGATGAAAACTTCCACAAAATGCGAAAACTAAACAAAAGTAATAAAAAGGCAAGTATTTTCCAAATGAAGGGGCCTGCAGGGTTATCTCCAAATGTACTGTTCATTTTCTTTTAAGCTACCTGCTCTTGAGCATGATGCTCTGTAAGTAACAGGAATTTCACTATTCTAGTTGGAGTGTGAATGTGCATGACCTCTATCTAACCACGATACATGTTCCGATGGTCAAAACAAGATCACTATTCTAGTTGGAGTGTGTATATGCATGATGGTTAATTGGTTATCGAACCGAAAATTAATACTCCAATGGTCAAGGCATGGGGAACCTAAAATACAGAAGGTATAATGATGCACCTCATCTCAGTTACAACTTCAAGTGTGACCCCAAGTGTGAGCATATCATAATCATCATGTGACATATTTTGACGTTAATTCCTCTTTCATGTAATTAAGTGGGTTTTAACAAATTATTCAAACGAACACAATTTTTTTTCTTTGTTCTTGTTGAGGGGTGGGGGAGGGATTTGAGAATTCAAAACTCTATGCTAACATAATGTACCTGGCTTACTGAAAGAACTTGCAATAAGCCATCAATACTACCATGGGTTGAAAAAAATATAATGACCTAAAAAAATAATGTTGCATCACCGCAGTTTTTAGCTAACTGCACCCTAATGTTGAAAACAATGATAACGCATAATGTAACATTCTACCCCCTGTTAAGGGTTAAAGGGGGGAAAAAGGCAAAAAAATGTAACGCATAACGTAGATTATTTTAGTAAGTATTTACATATTTTATAACTAGAGAACATTCATAATGATTTTAATAATTAGAATCATCAAAATTTTCAAACATAACATCATTTATTCACAAATACCAAATTATACTATCACTATTTCTTAACAAACACTAGTCAAATACGCTTAATAACCATTCCAAAAGCATGAAATACATCAAGCTTGAGACCAATCGTATCAGTCTAAACAAAAACAATCAAACCAGCAGCGTAGGACCTCACCAGCAGCGTGGGACCCCCTATCGTCATCGAGAAGGTGGTTGCCGTTGAGTCAAGTCAGTCCAGGTTCACGGTATTGTGATTCTCATCTTCAATTAGGGTTTTGAAGGGGTGTAGTTTGATGAGGGTTTTGGTCTTCGTTTTTGTATTCTCCTTTGTCATAGGCAGCAAAGAGAACATTCGGCAGCGACGAGAAAAGATATCGAGGAGTGATTTAGGGTCTTCTGAAGGGCGTAAAGAGAAATTGGGGGAGGCGAGAGAATTCTGAGGGCGCCGATTGATCCCAGAATTGAAGGGAGGACGGGTTTTAACTGGAGTGAATGATTGGATTTTATCTAACTTAAAATCCAACGATTGGATTTTATATATCTTAAAATCCAACAGTACTGAAAAGATGACAATTTAACACATCATAAATCAATGTTAAGTGACACGTTACATAACGTGCGTTTTTTTCAGAAATCGCAACATTATGAACTGGGACGTTTTCTTAATGGGTTTATCTAACAAATTCCTCTCGTTATGCTACATAACACATTATAATGCGTTATGAGTTGCGTTTTTTTCAACATTTCTGCAGCCTTCTGTAGATTAATCACCGATGGCGAAAAGCTAGCTCTTCTGAATAACACAGCGTGAAGCAGGCGTTTGGGAAAATTTTGGCATTCAATTTTATGCAAGAATACTAATGAGCACAGTTGGAACAGCTAAATGTATGTAATAACATGAGACATAGAAACAATTTCTGAGACCGCCTTACTCTCCCATATTGTCAATAGATAGTCCACCTCAAATTAGTATGTGTTGTTTCCTTCCAATTTTTCTCTAGGAAACAAAAGTAGGATCAGTGGTGTCAATGTGCAAGGCGCAATGCGGGACGCAAAGTATCTTTACGCGCACATGCGCAAGGACCAACACGATGCGCTCGCCCGAGTGATGTGAGGTGCACACAGCACACAATTTTTCAAGATAGGATAATCAAGCATGAAAGAATATGTTTAGGCATTCACATAAAAAATATGTCATGATAAATAATATCTTACGACAAAATCACAATATAAGGTCTTATATTCTAATGCTAACACCTAACATAGCAACAAAGTTCATAATTTTTCAAATCAAATGTCAGATCAAGACTAATATCCAAGCAAAGAATTAGTTACGGTCCTCAATTGAAGGCTACTAAAAAGGCCTAATGGGTTTATTTTGCTTTTTGGGATATGGATTATCAAATATAAGGACTCGATTAAAATGTTAAACAAACAAAAATATGAGGGTATGCACTACATGCACCCTACACAAAGTTAGGATTTACACGAGGCGCAAAAGGCACTATTGCATCAAATGTGAGGTGCTCCACCACCACCCCACATCACAAGGCGCATGAGGCGCAGTGAGGCGCGCGCCTTTGAAAACAATGAGTAGGATTCCATGTCAAATAAGTCCAGAAGAAGAACCATAGTGAAGTATTAATATACACTGGGCATGACGGACTGGAGATGGGGGGGAAAAGGGAAAGAAAGAAAAAGAAAGTGCGCTTGCTTCAATTAGATTAAGTATCTGACACGATAGTTCACACTAGTGCATAGACATATAGCTTACATGAATGTATAAGAACTGGACATTGCTTATGACGGCAAAGTGAGCATTAATTACCTTAGAGAATTCTTCATCAGGAACCTGCAGTTTCTTTTGGATACGTGCTTTCACCTCGGATAAAGTTTCACCTTCATGAATAACCAAGAAGAATGGTTCCCCAAAGTTTTGAACCTGCTGCAAAAATTGAAGGGAAAAAAAACCCTTAATTTTAATAAGGGAACTGTATGCATGTATAGAACAGAACAAATACTAGAACGGGAACAGGATGAGTAGAAGGATGAGGTTTGCGGGCCAACTAAGTTAATTTATAATGAAACTGTATGTGTGTATAAAACAGAACAGAGAACAATGGAAACCTAAGTTGCATGGGTACTGGTACGGGTACGGGACACGGCAAATTTGTAAAAGGTAGAGTACAGGGACACGGCTATGAACATGTATGTTATGTACATTTATATGTATTAAAACTAGTAATTTACATACGATCAATATTGTTTTTTTCATTTACATAAGATCAATATCGTAGAAATAGATGTGGAGGGTAGAATATGCATCCAAGAAGTGTATGACGAGCGTTTTAAATTTAAACATGTAGTATATAATTGAGTATATGCTTGAACACCATAAGTATATATTCAAGAAGCATCCAAGAAGCTTGGATACGGATAGGTACGGGTATGGCTTCCGAATAGAAATACCGAGGTAATATAGATGGAAACAGAATGAGTGGGAGGATGGGTTCTACATTTCCCAGAAATCACTTGCCCATCTTTTGCCTTGAAATAGGAACAAATTGGTCAAATTGATAAAAACACTTCCGGAAAATTGATAACAAAACTTTTCGCTTTTCATTCCTATGAAAACAGGGGCTTGGAACTACATCAATGCTAATAAAATTTGAAGTATATAAATTGATACATCCATCATGACCCAAATTTCCAGTACGTATTTACCATCTGATTCTGATTAGGATCTTTCATGAAATGGTAGACATGAATCAAGCGATCGTGAGGACCAAGATTTTTCTCCTCTTCTGGAATCTGCAATGCAATAGAGTAAGAACTATTAAAAGCAGTGGTTTTTTTTAATCTCTGAACATAAATCAAAAATCATCAGGGATCCCCTCGTTTGATGATGCATGTTAAGCCATCAGACTCTAAGCAAATGATATTATCAAAAGCGTGAATCAGCAAGCTCTGGAAACGGGTTACTCACCTCTTCTGCACGCAATGTCCAGTACTGATCATTTATGTTTTCTATCTTTTCATTAGGAGGAAATATCTGCAGAAATCATTGTAAGACTTGTAAGCAAGGGGGGAAGCATCGACACACAAACACAAATACAAGAGTCGGAATGTAAATAGTACGCCCCCCACCCCCCAAACAAAAAAAAAACCACGCAGATGTTTGAATAGTTATATTTAGATTCCCAGGTAACAAGAGCGGTATAAAAAAGTCAATTTTAGGTAGTAAATCAATTGCATTACTTAATATAGTTATTTCTAATTTTTTTTGCCGATTACAACCAAATTATCTTAAGATACAAAACCAAGAGGGCATAAATTAGCTATAAATTCAAATTCTGTTGTTGCAACAGCAAATGCCTCAGGAAAAAACCTATGCACAACATTCATGCAAAAATTACTCATCAGCTCAGGACCAGCATGCTTCACTTACACCATAAATTAGATGTAATTGGTTATGGTACTTTACTTGATAGAGCATTTACGTTATCCAAATGTGTTTACAAGCCAACATTCATGCAAAAATATTGTCTTATAGACAAATACCACAGGAATACCTTATAGATCTTGTGATAGAAGACCTCAAGCAATCTGAGTTCAGCATTTGGCTGAGATAGCTCCACCTATTTTTTTTTTAAAAAAATTAAAAAAAAAACACCAAGAAGACTTTTCAGTAGAACCATGTGTTTCAAAATAACCTATGCACAACTTACAGGTTAAACAAGGAGCAAGATTGTGATTAGAAGAAGAAATGATAACTTCAAAAAACTAACCTTACTCTTGAGATCATTAATTACATCACCTACAGTGCTGTTTTTGGGTAATCGAATGGTGTGAATTACAACCTGATAAGAGAACAAATTTGTTAAGTACATAGCTAATTCAAAATTCATAAGAACAAGGTATATCAAGCCACTGACCTCATCCTTGGTGGCATGATGAAATGCAACTTTAAGAGTTTTTAAACATTGCAGTTCAGGAAGAGGAATATCCAGTATTTCATAATACAATATGTCAGAAGTCTGTCCAAAAAAATATCATTAGATTCGATGGTTGCACCATGACACATGTAATAGGATTTAAATTCATTACTAACTAAACCAAATTATAGAAAAAATTCTACCTGATTGTAATGGACGAGCATTTCTGAAAGATGCTCAACACCGCGGTATTTGATTGGCTGGGGTTTAGGTTGCTGAGAGTAACAATTGTGAGACGTTAGACGGATTTTTGATGCATCATCTAAACCAAGTTGTCGAGCAACTCTTTCCACAACATCATCATAGGTGAAAAGCTTTGACCTTAGGAGAAGAAAAAAAGCGTAAGAATAAACAATTTGATATTATGGTGCAAACCACAGAAGCCACAACTGAATGACAGTAAAGAACAGCTATAATCGTTATATTTGCGCTTACAGTTCCAAACAAAAATCGTCCTCTTTTGGTTTCTCCAGTGAGCGAAAATGGACAACCTGTGCCATCATGAGATGGACAAGCATTATATAAGTGCTTCACTAATTTACATGATCAAGATAAGTAGATGTTATGAAAAGCAGAAGACAGTGCATGTTCCAGCAAGTTGTGCAGTAGAATTGTGACCCTAGCAGACATCTTGCATTAAAGAGAGATAATATGATATATAAACAAAAATAAATAAATGGATTAAAAAAATAGACCTAAATTGCATCTCTTAAGAAAAGCCTTGGTGTCAGTGACATGAAAATGAGCAGACTGCGAAAGTATCTGAAGTGTCAGTTAAAAGGAACTTCTTCACAAGCAACACCATGATTTCCACCTGATTTCCAAAGATATAATGTCCTAACACTATGATTTTAGCTTGTTTACCTCCAAACTACTTCCACATTCCACCAGGTAATGAAGTTGAGTTATCACCTAAGCTCCCTGTTCGTCTATTATTAACATTCGATGAATACCTGAAGCGTCAGTTAAAAGGCTCTTCTTCGCAAGCAACACCATTCTTTTCGCCTGATTTCCAAAGGTATAATGTCCTAACACTACGGTTTTAGCTTGTATTTACTTCCTAACTACCTCAATCCACATTCCACCAGGCAGCGAACAAGTTATCACCTAAACTCCCCGTTCATCTATTATGAACATTCAACGAATACCTACCACTATGATCTGGAGTCACTGCCAACAGCCAAATTTCCTCAAGGCAGAAGAAAACACGGGGAAAAAATTATATATTACACGTAAATATCTAAACTGTATCGTGCCATGTTCATTCCCTGGCTACTGGCACTGGCCTATGCCAGTTCTGAGATCCATGACAAAAGATTTTTATATCCATTTGAAGAATCATAGGTCTAAAACTAATCTACGTGCTAGATCTCGTGAAACTATTGGATAAAGTAAATTACAATGAAATTTTGTAGTGACTCATTACAACAAGCAATGATATTCAGAAAAAGAAAACCACAAGAAATTGCAATACCAGTATACCTGACGATTATGAACATATTCCAAAAATGATGGAACATCAGGATAGCGACACTGGTCTTCACTCTCTGGAGTGGGAGCTTTTTGGTAGCAGATGATATCACCATCTTCCAGCTGAAAATATAGAGCCAATGTGTTAAGAATTAAAGGTGCTCATCAAGAAAAATGTAATTATGTATTTAACAAACCTGGCTAGCTCGGAAAGTGAGCTTCCTGTCTATGTGCTCGCACATTACACTAGGTTCATATTTAATTTCCTGACCAATAAAAACAGAAAGGTAAGAGTACTAAGTTAAAAGAATGTTAACCAATTACAAACTCAAGAATCAACACAAAACTAAGCATGAAAAAATGGAAGATAAATCAAGTATTAAAAAAACAAAGACATAAGCACCATGCAAAACGAAAAAAGTTCATGCTGTGACCCACCTCATAAAGCTCAATTTCTTCATCTGGAAGAAATCCAGCCATCTTATTCAACTTCGAGAGAATTTCTGTTGGCTTCCCTAAAGCCTTGACAAAGAGCCTTCCCACATACCTATGCGCAATAAGGTTGAACAAGTATAAGTTATTAGACAAATATAAGTTGTACACCCAAGATCAACAAGGCTAACACAAAATTTAGTTAATGTCCTGGAAAAGACAACCATTCCAAGGAAATTCAAACAGAGTAATTAACAGGAAACAGATAAATACCTCAGCTCTTCCTTTTCAGGATCATAGAGCTTGAAAAAAAGCAGTATATCTTCCTTAGTTTTATCTGGTGGAGGAAGAGGTTGAAGATCCTACATTATCATAATAAAAGTTTAATCAACTCATCAAGCACTTAAAAGTTCTATTGTAGAATGCATCTTTTTTATGCACAAAAAATAAGAAAAATACGGTCAAAACCATTCAATCATCAGCTCAATAGCCAAAGTACTGTTACCAGTCCAATTTCCACTTCCAAGAATAATTTGAGCTCAGCAATATGCAACTTGTTAGTGATCTCCCTTAACTGTCCAACCTATACAAAAGATGTGGAAAATGAACTCATTAATATGGTGGATGAAGGAAATTGATAATTGTTAAATAGAAGGATACTCAATAAACTGAAAACAAATATGTTCATGAAATCTCCATAGACTGAGGAAATTGGGCATCTATTACTGCCATAGACATAAAAATGACGAGTCAGTGCTTTTATGAAAGTGAAATTTCGAGGCTGTAGTGTATGTCAAATGGTGATTTTCTGATCCAAACACCTGAATTAATCACCAAAAAAGTAATTCTTGAAACATGTGAACAACTCTAAAAGTCGTATATAAAAGAAACTTGTGGTCGGAAAATGGATCTGCTACAGGAACATAACCAAAGCAGAAGATTCCATGTAGAAGACTAGGTTCCTATCAGATGCACAGTTGACCTATATCAAAAATATTTATATTGAAGTGGATTCATAATTTCATATAACAGCAAGTATCAAACAAAAATTAGGCCATGAAGCTCGAGCCAGACCGGGACAAACATATGCTACAGAAGGAACATGAAAGTTGCACGCATACTGAGGGAAGGTAACATATGTACACATCGTCAGCCTTAATGTGCTACAGTAACCCAAAGCTATAATATTTAACAACATGAGTTTCCGAGGTCCTGAGTCTCCTGACAATGAACCATATCGTCTCCATTCATATTTCCATTTATTTATAATTCTGAATGAAAGATAGATAGCTGTTAACCATCTAGACTCATAATGGAACTAAACATAAAGGCTTCATCAATTTTTCAGTAGAAAGAAAAATTATAGCAACCGCAACCAAAAAGCAATAACACAATACACCTCCAGTGAAAGGCCAAGTGCCAAACAACTTAAGAATTCAAACCTAACTTGGGTTGAAAAAAAAAAAGAACCCAAGTAGAAAGAAACAATTACAGAACCTAAAAGACAAGGTAACTCCCTCATTGAGGTTTAAGTAGAAGAAAATAATAGCAACCAAAAAACAATATCATTATCACATCATCACCTCCAATGAAGGCCGGCTGCCAAATCATTTTAGAACTAGAACCTATTCTAAGAAAATAACATTCATCCCTCCTCTCCACAACTAATCAGAACGTAACAAAAATAATATTAGTTAATTTGATCTCAAATGTGCCACTAATTATCGAATCACTTCTATAGTCAAGCTTGTAACTATTTAAATGAAAAGTTCTCTCCATCACCGCCATCATCGCCCCACCCCCCCACCCCCAAAACCAAAAAAAATCTCTCTAGACAATTTCAATTTGGTTGGTGTCCAAATGAGAGAAAAGGATACCATAGCAATTTGCTGCAAATTCTAATATGTTATTTATTCAAGCTCATAGTACTGAACTGTTACACCAGGATATATCACTTACAGATTGAGCTTCCTCTTGTGGAGTCAATGGCCTATTGGGACGATATGTATGGTTTTGCCGTCTAGCCCACAGCCAAAAACGCTGACATTGCACGGGAACGCCGAATTCTTTGGCCACCTCCTCCTGCAAAAGATCCAATATTACACATCAGGAAGAAAACTAAAGAGATTTTGATAACAATAAGAGATTACACACTTCCAATTTCCGCTACGCTACCAAGAAAATCAGTAGCAATACATTCAGTAAACAAAAGGGGAGCTGAAACCTAGAAAATTCTATCTAATCAGCCGGCATGCTGGAGTATTTGGTTATGGAAAAGAAAGCATATAACATGTTTCTAATCTGAATGAGATGCTTGTTCTTTGTCACAAATCACAAAAAATACAAACATATGAGTAAGAAGCCCAGGTTGAACTCCTGGTGTTAAACAACAGCAACACCAAAAATGTTACCTTGAACGTGTAGAAAGGCGTCTGTTTTTGGATACGGAAACTCCGAACTTTGTCATGATCCACTAGGTCAAAGTAAATATCCCTTCCAATTTGTTCTCTCAAGTCTTCATCTCGAGCAACCTATATTTCAATATAATGTTTGGTAAACCAGCATCAAGTAAGGAAGCACCCCACTTAAGAACCAGAAAAGTAGAAGTAAAGGAAAAGATCATGTGAAAGACCTTTATAATGGTATAAAGATGGGCCTCAGCTTTCTCCTTCTTCTTGTGTTCCTTTTCTTCTTGTTCTTTCTTCAATCTTATCTGGAAACAAACATATGTTTCAAACAACGCCTCTCACATGTTTGACAATTCAGTAATTAAACAAGCTTCCCATGATTGTCTTACTCTGAGGTGCTCAGCAATATCTTTTTCATCCACATTGCAAACTATTTTATCCTTGTCACTTTCTCGAATATATACAAGCATGTAAGCATTTGAATACTTTGTAAACTTAAATGGAGTGTTATTGAAACCAGGTGTTGTCTGAGGTAACTGTGGACAAAATAAGGGGGCGAAAGGCTTAGACAGTTAATGGTACTAAATGTAAATGGGATATGTGATATTTCTGATGGAAATATAGATAACCTCTTCTTCTCCACCATACTGCTCCTCTAGAGCCTTCTTTGCATCTTCTTTTGTTACCCGCTCATCATCAAACTTAAACCTGAAAAGGAAACATTTTAAAATGTTAGATAGGCTCCAAAAAAAATTCCAGGAACTAGGTTAATTGGCAAAAGGTTGCAAGAAAGCAGACACTCAGGCCTCACAAAAATCAACTCAATAAAAGGTACACATAAGAAGAACACCAGGATCAAAGAAGTTCTTGGCATAAACGTTTCTAAGACACAGTCGAAGCATATACACAGATCCGTTTACCATAAAAAATTATGTAGGCATGAAGTTATGTAGGCATGTGGACTGCATTTCACAAGGAAACTCAAAAAGAACAAAATGTAGCTTACTCTAGAATATTTTATTCATCACAAAATCTTACAGCTAAAGCAATTTTGGCAGGGAGCACTAAGATTCACCAGAAAAAGGACAAGTTCTGGCTTAAATGGATAATAATCTATAAGCAATATAATCACTTGGTAGCAACATAAAGAACACCGCTTAAACTTGCATCACATTACTGATGAGACATCAACATCAATAGAGATGCAGCTACAACTGGTTATAGTAAGTTCTGCTTAAAATGGCAACATCATAAGCTCTTGCAAAGCGCATATCATACCATCAGGAGTATAGTATACTGAAACTTTAATTAATTAAAGCAATGAAATTACCTTCCAGGCCTCTTGATAGACATGTAGATCCCGTAAGAATATAATATTTGAAGGATTACACAGATTAACCTCTCACCTGACTGGTGACATATAATCAAGTATGCTAATTATGGCTTTTAATATTCAAAAGATTACAGATGTATGAAGGGCAGGAATTTCACAATAATCTAAGAAACGATTCAATGCCAATGAAGATTTTCATTCAATAAATAATAGGAGGAAGAAAAAAATTTATATACATACCACTGCTCAGATAGAGTTGGTCGAATAAAAGCATAGTAGTGTCCGCCATGCACCCCACCGCTATGAACAAGAACACTGCATATATGACAAACAGCATAAAACTTTTCCCCTTCTCCATTAGGAGTAAAGAAAAATATGTGTCTAAATATTTTCAAAAGGAAGAGAAATATGGAATAGAAGATAGCACCACTATTAGTAAGCACATATTTATTCTCAAGCAATTAGTGTTTAAGTAAATATGGATTCATTAAGAGAAAATAAGTAATAGAAAATGGATGCTAAGGAATCAAGGACATGGTAATAAGAAAATTCCGAGGAAGAGGAAGTATTCAACAGAGGACATGCATAACTAACAGTAAACTCCTTCCTTCCTGATATGTCCAGGGTTTTAGCCTAGATAGCCATCATTTTACCAACTTCCCCCTAGTGCATTCTGTGCATGACAATTAAGACCTGCTGGTATATCTACAAGACAAGAGGCAAAAGCCTTCACCGCAAAGCTTGGAGTGTCAACTGCTCTCCAAACTCCCATATACAGAAAACGAAGGAAATCCCTATAAATCATAAGCAATCAAATCTACCTTAAGAGTCTCAGTACTTGAATTCTACTTACGTCTTTGTGCCTAGCACTTCAAGCCCATACCACTGCTCCTATTTTGTGTATGCGGCTTAATCAGCCCAATTCTAGTATCAAGTAATTAACTAAAAAAAATAGTCGCAACTTTAACATGGATTTATATATTCTCAGTCACAAGTCCAAACATAAAAATAAATGACCGGCTAAATGAATGAAAAGCATCCATTTGAGTTGTCAAACTCCACCTAATTAAAGAAAGAACTACTCTCCAATACTGAAAAAAATCAGAAGGAAAACTTTCTCTTCTTCCAGACAACTAAACATGTCATGGTTATTGGCCCTATTAATTTAATGGTAAGAGAACCTGTTTCCGATTTGTTACTGCAAACCAAATATTGACCATCTATCTTGTCCCAAAGAAGTCGTCAATTTGACTGAAACTATATCACTCGTACACAACTCTGAATGAACAGCAGAAAGATTCACATAAATGAAAAAAGTTACAGACTTAGTTCCAGGAAGTGAAGGAAATTGAAAGAAGACATGGAACAGCAAGGATGATAGTAGTATACAACAATTATGTGCTCGAGATGTATCAGTCATGACAATGCTTAAGTCACAATCCAAACAACAATCTATATCTGATTATGGAACATGCCATGCATTGGAGGCCTTCTTAATCAGAGTAAGCATTATCAAGATATCAAATTCAAGATAGTATTGATCACTTAATGGTTAATGGCCTGTTTGGATGGAGGGTAGAGAGGGGGAGGGGAAGAGAAATCTAATTTTAATCTTGTTTGGGAGTTCCATTTAGGAGGGTAGAAGAGGGGAATGGGGAGGAAATTTGAGTCAAAATCTTATACCCCAAATTGGGGTGTAATGAAGGGGAAGGGAATGAAGGGGAACTTTTCCCCTTCATTCCCCTCCCTAAGTCATCTCCCAAACACACTTAGAATTGTTTCACAAGCTTGTCATGAGAACCATATCATCTGAATTTCACTAGTGATAGAACATAGGGTGCATATAACATTATAACCATAAGTTATACATCCTATAAAGTTCTTATATTGGTTTTAAAAGAACTAAAATCCTATTTGCATCAACATGCCTCGATACTGGTATGAGGAGAATTATTTTCCTATTTGAATTGGTCACTAATTCTTACATTGCCATGATTCAAACATTATAGACTTAACTTACTGCAGGCAACTTAAGAAATCAAGACCAGTAGCTTCTAAAAACTTCAACACAGTCAGCATGCCTAGATAAGTTTGACAAAGTATAACAACAAATGCATCGATATATATAAAAAAGTAAAACAAGTTCTTACAATACTACATCAGCATGCATAGAGAAGTACAACAAAGTAAAACAATGAATGCACAATTTTTCAGTTTTCATTTTCCAAAATATAAAGATCCCAACAAATATTACCTATGAAGAGTATACAGGTTGCGAACTCTCCTGTCTGCATCTGGAGAAAGATATTTTCCATTTTCTCTATCAAGGTCTAGTTGCAAAGGAAACTCATAACGATCATTTATCTGCATTATAGACATTAGATAAAACTATATGCATCAGAAAGGGACAGCTGATCAAACCATTTGATTCTCCACTATCATAAAAATTGTTTATAGGAAAAGCTATTTATGTTTCAGAGAAAATAAAACTGAAAACCACAAAAGGGATAATGCAATCAAGAGTATGTGTATGGGGTTAATCTTCCAATTTGTATTCTACAAACAAAAAGTTTATGGTCCTTCACAATGCAATCATGAACATGAAAGTGAATCGAACAAGATCTAGAGAATTTATCTCCCTGACCACCATATCTCTGATTAAAATAACCATTATAGCTATAACAGCTTCAGAGAAGATAAGTATTAGCTGAAGGGTTTCCCCTAGCTAATGTTACGATATTAATAAATGAGACTAGAGAAAGGATTATGTCCAAAGCAATAATATGGATAAAATATAAGGAGTTAGAACCAGTAGTACAAAATGGAATATATGAAGTAAAACTTAAGCGAAAACCTTAAAAAAAACAGTGTATTGTCCCATCCACATTAATGACGAGAAATACCTTGTATTGATCATTTTCGCTATTCGGTAAAGAAAAGACCTGTATAGGTTAGAGATAGCTTCGGTCAAGGATATGAAGACAGTTACTTTACGTGGTTACAGATTATTGACCCGAATTAAGGCAGAAGAAGATAGTTGTTTTTTAACAGAGGAAATTGTCCTTAATGTGCTAAAGGAGAAAGGAGTAGGTAGCTGACCCAACATCTGGGATAAACGTCTTACGAACTTTGCTTAAATTTAAGGCTTCAAGCCAATTGTTAACAAGCTCATTCAAATTAATGTGAACATACAATAATAAGATTTAATGTTTCAGACTGGAGTAGCTTCACGTCTGATAATCCTAAAATATAAATAATTTATACTAATATCCCAAGGTTCGTAAAGAGAATAAACAGAAAAAAAAAATTGTTAACTATGATGTTCAAGACTGACAACTTGATAATGCATCTGTAAGGAATTAATCTGATAAAATAATCATAAGCTATATAACCTTCATAATACTTGTAACAAAAGATCAGCCTAGCTTAAGTTGAACTATAAGTGGAAAATGTAATATCAGCAAAAGAAACCATGATTTATGAATGCCATAACAAATATAAAAGGAAATGTGTTTACCGGTACCCACCTTTACCATTGTATCCCGCATGAAATCATATTCAAATCGCTTCAGTTGGAGTTGCAAGACAGGAGGAAAATCAATGAATAGAACACCCTTCTTCGCATCCTGAAACAAGCATGGAAACGAGAATCCAAATCAAATGAGTTCATCAGAAAACTGAAATTTGTTTAGAGCTGCAAGACTATACACTACAATACATTAAGATAATGATATAGCAACTATCTGATCTATGCTTTCTTAATCATCTTCTATTTTGATTCATAACGCCTCCAAAAAGATTATCCCACAAAGGATATAGCAGCTATGAAAAAATTGAGAGATGCAATATTCTCAGTGTAACATGGAAGCAGGCATGGAGAAGACAGCAGAGTTAGTAACAAACCTGTAGGCCATGGTTTTCAGCATGGTACTTGTTATCTCCTTCGAGTCTTTCAACTTCACAGTATTTGTCGAAAGAAGCATAAACATCCCGACATCCCTTGACATCTAGCTGAAGGTCTACAAAGAATACAATATTGCAAAAAGTAAATATAGTAACAAAGAAGATGCAGCTAAAAAGACTTGCAAACATCATAATTCACCATAGATTTACCATAAAACGACTCCTTTCTGGTGGATTTATAATCCACATTAATACACTCAATGTAATTCATATGATGTCCTTCAAACAGTTGTTGTATTGTTCCTTCAACAACAGTTCCCTGTGATAAAAATAAAAGGTCACAGTTGAACAATGAAAATATACCGATATCAATCTTAAATATTTTAGTAGAGTTGCCGAACCTTCATTTTGTCTTCCAACTTCTCACAAAGAACTCTATTGAGTTCTTGCACATCATGTTGCATAAAAGAATCATATGTGTCCCATCCAAATGACTTAGTTAGTTCTTTGGTAGCAACACTACTATCACTATACTGAAGTTTATAAAACAGGCTCTGCAGAGCCAGGGGAATGCTTCCAGATGGCATATCATTTTCTGTTGTAGGCATATGATAAACAGCCTGAAAGATGAACTTCAATTACTTTTCATTCATATAAAGTAGATTATTGGATAAAGCAGAAGGCATAAAATGATGATATATACCTTTCTGAAGTAGGGAATATGGTACAGAGTTTGAAGAAGAGAGTTCATGTAACAGGTTGCTCCTTGATTCTTAAGGCCAACATAACCAGTTTCTTTCTTAGAGTCATAATTCCAGTAGTCAATTACCTTACGTACCGCAACCTCAGCTTCAACTACACAGGTATCATTCACAATATATCCTCTACTAGGGTCATAAAGCTCACTGAGGGGCATAAATGAAGTAAAACCCCAATCACTTTCTCGAGCGTTAAACTGGTGTTGTGTTTCTGCAAAGAAAAAAGTACATGGGTAATGTTCTCACTAAGTTACAGTTTTCCTTAACCGCGGGTCTTTCAAATTATTACCATAATTTTGTCTCAAAAAAATTATTGACACAATTAATGAAGTAGAAACCATAAATAGCATGAGCACTATCAAATTTGAAAAACATGCACAAACGATGTTATCAAATATGTTTCAAAATGAGAATGTCTTGATAATAGAGCAAAATATAATATCATTTGATCTCAAAAATTGCATTCTTCATCTAGCTGCAACTTGCAACAACAAAATATAAAGAGGAAAAAGAAAAAAAGAAAGATCTAAACTTATTATATATGTTAAATACATCTACAACAATTTTGTACCTCCGTGTTATGTTCAAAAGTGGCTATAAGTTACTCAATGCTCAAAAAGGCCCCGCTTGACAAAGGTTTAAGGGAAATGGTTATCCTGTCTAAAGAGGACTGATGTTATTTTCTTTAATAATAGAGATGTTATCACCTAACCCGTCTAATGAGNTAGCTCATTTTAAACCCTTCAGAGGTGAGTTACCTTAACTGTTTTGCAATATTTTTGCTTGACAAATTATGACTGATTAACTCATTTTAAATTTTCTGTGTTTGGCATGTTAAAGAGGTGTCAGCTCTTCTTCCCTTACCTAACCCGTTGCCAATGATACCAAAGTAATAATGCAGGCAAATAGTAAAATATAAACCAGTTGGCAGTAATACTGGAAAAAAAGTAATATAGGCAAAAAAAATGACAATAATAGACCATAAAATAGAGCGAATATAAAAACACATGACCAAAATCCACAGTTAATCAGCAAAATGATACCTTTTCTGACACTATACTTGCTATTTATCTGATTGATCACCGACAAGCTGAATTGTGCATATCTACTCCATCCATAAGGAAGTGCCGCCGAATCAGCCACATCCAAGTACATAGACAAGTGGTCTACATTGTTCCCTTTTGGAAATATCAACACTCTCCTACAATTAACCAATCCAAAACACTCGCTTTAAGTCCAAAACCCTAACTTTAAAACAAAATCACATAATTAAAGGAAGAAAGAGCTCGTTGTACCATTTGTAACCGCCAACCATGAAAACATCAGAGTAGTGCTTCTTTGGGTGAAGCCTCGAAAAATGCTCGATCGTCCACGTAAACCTAGACGTCGTGGGAGGATCCTCCACTTGCTGCTGCTGCTGGTGGCTCTCGGCCCTGGTCGCAGTCTCCACGGGCGCCACTACAAACAAAGAATCAAAAGAAAATTCACCAAATCAATCAAAAGGATCACAACTCGCTAAAATCACAAAAACAAACTGAAAGCAACTCCATTCACGCCAGAATAGAGGGAAAAAACCGAATTTTTCAATCGAGAACCTTCCATTGGCTGAGCTCCGTCGGTAAGCTCGGAATGGGGAACAAGCATCTCGTCGTCTTCCTGCTGCGAAATTAAAGCACGAATCAGAGTCCAGATCGTGTAGAGCGATCCAAAACCCTAGAAATTAGTAAATTTTGAAACCCTAGGAGGGTGTAAAGTAAAGGGGGGATTAGAGTAGATTAGACGTACATCGAGGGGAGGAGGGGTCATTATAGTCATGGATAGGGGCGGGGGCGAGGGATCGCCGGCGGAGGACGGGATCGCGGTGGAGGGAGAGGAGAGAGAAGTGCCAAAAGGCGCTCTGTAGAAGGAGCGACGACACCGAAAGGGAAGACTCGAGCCGGGGGTAAAAAGGGAGAGGGGTTTTGTTTCGAGGAGGGGTATTTTGGGGATTTCAGGAGAGTGGGGGTGAACTTGTAAAGATTATTTGTCAGTTGGGCTTTGCTGCATTTTGCAAACAGATGGATATAGTCGTATAGATCATTGTCATTATCTTAAAATTTTACTGCCAAATTATGAACTGCTGCAAGTATTCGACATGAAAATATTTCCTGCCTTGTTAAAATCGAATATATATATAAGATCTGAGAGAAACATATAAACCGAAAATTATATCAACAATATGAATAAAAGCTGGCTTATTTAAAGTAATAAAATTTATAACTAAGAGTTAGCTAATGAGATCAACGCATCTAAAAATCATGAGCTAGTTCTCTGTATCTGTAATCGTCTTCAGATTCACTAATATAAACGTCAAGATAACTTAGATATCCAATTTGTATTGGCATACAATCAAAAAAAAAAACAAAAAGAAAAAAAATAATAGTGAGATATTTATGGCTAAATAGAATTTAGATGTCCTATATTTTCACGAATCTTACACTTAAGTTATTATTATTTTAAAATGGAGTAAAAAAAACTGCCCCAAAGTATTCAAGTATTGCAAATAAATACTTTATAATTTCCAAATATTGTATTTTGATGTTTTTTTTACCCAATGTTGCACGTTTGTATCCTCTTATTTATCCAATGTTGTACATAAACACACTCAGCTTGTAAATATCCTCACTTAAATACTCTAAAGTTTCTAAAAGTTTCACTTTAGTGCCCTTTATTATATAATGTTCTCATATGCGTATAGAAAAGTTAATTGTAGGCGTATAAAATTGCTTATAGGTCCCTTAGCACAGCTCGGCACAAACCGACGAACCAACGAGGCGACGAGGCTAACGAATCGCACGCAAGCAACGGAATACATCCATTCGCGTGTGGAATCAAGCCAAGTGTTCGAAGAGTCAACGAGTCATCCAACCAAGGGCAGACTCGGACGAATCACGATCGAATCAAGATCGGTTTCAGACTCGAACTCAGAAGTGGATTTACTGCCAAATCAGGAATCCGATTTACTGCCAAATCAGATCAACAGATCAGAGTCTAAGTCAACCGAATCACGGACGGAACCGGATACAACTACAAAACGACGAAACCACGCCTAAGGGGGGGCTCGGCCGAAACCGAGCCACCTCTAGGTGGCTCGGCCAAAGCCGAGCCACCTTGAGGTGGCTCGGTGTGTCGGCCATTTGTGCGCGGGCACAGTAAAGGTGGTCTATAAATAGGAGGCTTGGTTCATTTGTTCAAAGGTTGGATTTTTTAGAGGCGAAGCCCTGCTAGATTGAAGACTCAGATCTAAAAAAGATTCAAGATTTAGGACTTCGAGGACTTGCTCATCCAGATCTGGTGCTCGGCGATCGTCAACGCCAAATAAGGCAAGAGTTCGAGAGGACCGGATCTCAGATCTACGCAGGCACACTCCGGATCAAAGCTTGGCCTTTGATCCCGAGAATTAAAGGCTACTATTTCCTTGGCGAAAATCCCCCCCGGCTATTATTTCCTTCGTAAAATAATACCC